TTGTTACACACACAAGCCGCAGCAAGTCGGAAACTCCCTTAAAACAGCGAAGCTGGAAGTTTTACAGAAATAACCGGTTGAAGACAGAATACAAATAGAAAATCTCTTCCAGTATTACATGATTGAGATATGTAGAACGAGATTTTATCCATTTTTTTCCGAGTTGGCCACAGTTGCGGCCGGTAATTCAGCTCTTATGGTAACAGGTTGGGACAGCCTCTACAACTCGTCCCGTATATAAAATTCACGGTGTTTCAATAAGATATCACGACACGAGCACCCCGCTGCGGCTCGGAGCCCCTTGTTCATCGGACGATAGATTTAGAAAAGAGATTAATTCTGTATTAGCTGGCGCGTACAACCTAAAAGCGATCCGAGTGGATCTCCCGATCGGGCGCGGCCCGACGTTTAAAACACCAGGCCCGAAATATTTAGTATACGTTATAGCCCGCGTTGATTCGCTCCCGTAGATAACCGAGATGGACCGGGCGAATTTCCAAATAGAACAAAAAGCAAACCCATCCCTCCCGCGGACGCGACGCTGCGCCTCCGCGCGTATGTCCATGCGATCCACGCGCGACAGATCGACGTGCATTTTTCACGATGCAGCCGATATTGCGGCCCGTTGAATTATGCATACACGGCGCAGATATCATTTCGATAGCTGGCACGGACGCTTGGCGTGAGCGATCTGTCACTGATGCTTAATGACCGGCATTAATTGGTTATTGTCAGTGCCTCGGCCATCGATCGCGATAGCCCCCGCGCTTCCGCGACATCGCGACGCGCCCTCGCTCGCTTTCATCGGGCAAGAGACTTCTGCTTGGACGCTGAGACCATTTGGAGCGAGTCCCCCTCGTTAAGCCCGGTGGTTCAATCCACTTCTTGTACGCGGCGATCCGCGTTCGCGTCCGGCCGTCATCGACAATTTCGCTGTAAAATCTGCATTTTCCGTTCGCAGTGCCGCGTTATGCGGCTCCATTTCGCCGATGCGCTCCGCAAGTTTTCCGCGGCGTTACTTTCGGGGCGTTTCGAAATTTTCCGCGGCGGACCTTTATATTTAATTTACTTGCGAGCAGTGTACGTACACGAGCGTTCTCTCTTAACAGTTCCGCGTCGGTACTCGGGAGAGATTCCGGGAGACGTTACGACAAATGATCGATACATCCGATCGACGTTAATCCGATCGGCCCGCTCGTAGAGCTCGCTACTGCTTGTTATATCGCGGACGCGTTGCGCGATGTCTGCATACATGCGGGGAATCGCATTTGTCGTGAAACGCGAGTCCGCCCTTTCCAGAGCATAATCGCGTTACGCTCTCCAGCTCACGACCTTTATTGCAACCTTATGACATCCCTAAGATATTTTTCGACGATCCCCGTAAGAGGACAAAGGTTCGCCTCCCGTATAACCCTGTGCGACGCACGGCCAGGACGCTGTCCGGGGGCATTCCAGGCGTCCCCGAGACCGGACTTCTTTCGACAACTGTGCCAAGTACAAAGGGGATGCAATACGCAGGCACCGGATACCGCCCGGAATTTTATGACTGATCTAATCAATGAAGGGTCTAGCGTCTATATGTGCGCCGGATATCCCGCATGCTCTACGGCTCTCCGCTTCCACGTCCAAAGTATTATTGAATTTCCAGACGAGACGGACTAGACTTCCGTCCTGAGCCGAGGTCGCAGGGGATCCTTTGTCAGCTTACACCGAATATCTTCTTTCGTCCGTGGAAGTGAATGTCAATTGCAGATACTACCCGGAGATAACGATCGATCGCGCGCACCGAGTCGTTGATGAACGCGCTCGGATGCGTAATAACTAAGCTACGACTGTTCTAATCATATATTAAATAAAAGCTCCGTTGAGGGAAAGATCATTAATTGTGATAAGGCCGATGGGAGCATATGACGAATAGTACAATGTGTTATGGAAAGAACCAGAACACAATAGTTAGTTTTGTTTCATTTGAAGCCAGACTTCGTGTCGATATTTATATTTTCAAAAAAACTAACTATTGTGTTCTGGTTCTTTCCATCTTGTTACAAACGCATTGTTAAAAACCTTTGTATTCGTCATATGCTCCTGTCGCCCTTTTCACAATTAATGAGCTCTAATCATATTTTTAATGGTGATTTTAACGCTTATTTTAAATCAAATCGAACAATCTAATGTGCATGTACAGCGATGGACAAAATGGTTGCGCACTGAGTGCACACTAAGGCCCGGTTTAATAGTAGACAAATCGAAATCGGGAAAAACTATCGAATATGAATATATTCGCCAGCTTAGAGAGTATCGTAGTTAACACCGAGTGAAATGTCGAATAAACGACATTTTTTATTTAAAAAAAAACCTTCGTTATGGTTCCTTTAACTTTTTTATAATGAAAAGTACAGGGAAGATAATTTGATATGCACACCAAGTCGAAAGTTCTCGCAAATCAGCCAATAGGTCTATTCGTTTTCGAAGTACCGCGAGGTTCTTTTTTAGTGTAGATAGATGTAGATGAGTGGCACGTTTATGGGTCGCAACGGTAAACAAGGACGTCAAACGCAGCCAATCACATAAACACATCTCTAACCGCATCATGCGATTGGGCGATTTCCTTATGTATATACAAATATGCAGGTTTCTCCGCATAATTAAACTTGCCGGTCGGTTTTCAAAAATATTTATTTTTGTTTAAGTTGTTCGAAAGCATTCGTTCGATATTCCACTCGTGGTTTTTTTTATTCGATATTTCCATATCGGGGTTGAAAAAAACCTCGAGCAATCGATAGTATCGAATGTCGATAAACATCTCTAGTTTATAGTCAATTTTTATATTTAAACTAACAAGGGGTAATCTTCAACGTCGCCAGTAGTAATTAAAAAGACTTCAAAGATAACTTGACCATGTCTGGCAATTTTTATGTTCAAAACTCGCAACGTTTCGACCATGGTTTGTGGTCATTTTCAAGTGATATAGTATCAAATGTTCTGTTCCTTCAATTTATTACACTGAACATTTGATACTATATCAGTTGAACCACAAATCATGGTCGAAACGATGTGAGCTTTGAACATAAAAATTGCCAGACATAGTCAAGTTATCTTTGAAGTCTTTTTGTATTTAACTTTGTCTTAAATACATGTTCAAAGAGTATTTAGCCAAAAAACGATCCGTATGGACGCTACACAGATCATTTCATTGGCTACAAAATATTTGATATTTAAGACGATTCTTAAATATAAAAATTGACTGTAAACAAGCTTTAGTGTGCACTCAGTGCGCACTAGTGCAAGCGACCGAATTCGCTGTACACTTCTCTCGTTTGTTTTAATTGTCACATCGTTATCTTGGTTCGGGCAGAAAAATGTATGCTCCGAACTGCGTTCCGCAAAATACATTTTCCCCAAAGATACAATCGATCATTTGCCAAAATGGTCCATTTGTCAAAACGATCCATTTGTCAAGTGGTTCCAGAAGAGCTACACACTACATCCTTCACAGGATTATGTACTGGGATTATATACAGGTTCCAAGGCTTCCATATCTCTACTTTTTTCTTCCTACTGCCAACATACAATTCAAGTGGAAAGTTTATTTCGACGAAGAACGCGGACTTTGCCATTATTTTTCATAATATCAAAGTTAATACGACGAAATGTAGGAATATATCTTACATGCTCGTGCAGCTTCTTCATTCGCGAGCCGCTCCGCGAATAGTTGGCAAAGTGCTCGAGAACGCGTTCCCACCTTTTTTCCCTCCCTGCGGCGTAAAGAGTTGCGTGCAGCCGGAGGCTTATTTTCTTACCGAGTGGGTAACAATGTACTTTTAGTTGCCGTGAATTGTGAAACGATGTTAGTAACTGCTTCCCCGACGGAGAATATAATGGGGGAAAGCGTTGTTCAAGAACATATGCGAATGCCCCCACCCCGTCTGAACAATGAAGACATGCTCTACTAATGGCGCGCTATTGCAATATGTAGATTACAGGATATATACATGTATATTGCGTATTATGTATATTACGGCGATATCAGATACCGTGTCGACTGAGGTTGACACGAAACTCGGGAATGGTGCAGGGACATGAATTCCATCGTTAATGCTTAATTACGGGTAGTGCTTAATAATCGTATTAGCCTTCGACATATAGTAGAATTTACGTGTCGATCATTCACCGATTCAGACCATCGAAAAGATCTAATCGTGTTACTAGATCGAGGGTGTAAAACAGGCGCCAACTGTGTCTCGTTTAATTTAAAAAATTAATTAATCAAGCACTCGATCCTCCAGTTGCGTAAAAGAATCTGGTGTATTGTATATGCGTGTACCACATTGAGATTCTTTTGCAGTAAGAACACTTGACTGCGTTAAATATTCCGTCTGCCGAAGTTCAATTCACCCCACGCGGAGAGAATTGTTCTCTTAAAATTTATCCTGAAAATGGTGCAATCGTGGGAGAACATGGCGTTTCGAAGAATTTTAAGTGCGAGTTTTGTGAAATTGTACCATTTATTTTACCAGTAACTGAAGTAATTCACTTAAATTTTGCTCTTTTATCAATCAATCAGTTTCGGAACTTCAGCTTATAGCCAAGAAGTAGACTTGGTTTACAAAAGGTTCTTAACTCGCTCATACTTGCACTCGCGCATCCTTCCTCGCTACATTAATACACATCATTCCTTACTTGCTATGACTACGCGGAGAGAGTTTTCTTTTAAAATTAATCCCGAAAACTCGCCATTTTCATTATTATTGTCATCTTCAACGATCGCAATTGCGAAGGAATCTCGCGCGGATCATGCGCATCCTCTTGATCCACCTACGTGTCTCGCGAATTATTGAAATGTAATAATTGGAGCGTTCGGTACGCGAAAGGGATGTCGCGCGCCTCGCTGTCAGATAATATTTATCGTCGCGTTGCGATGCCGCGATCGCGAAGGATAAACGCGCGCGATGCAAAAGCTTATATTCTCACCGCGCGCGAACCAACATTTACATTTCCAGTCGTGCCGGTATGCCAGCACGGCCAGACGAAGGTATTCGGCGTGGCGCGGCAGGAGACCGCGAGGATCCCGTGCGAGCTGGAGGCGAACCCGTCGGAAGTATCGTTCACCTGGAAATTCAATAATACAATGGAGGCGGTGGACATACCTCAGGCGCACGTCACGAGCGACCGTACACGCTCGACAGCCTCCTACACACCGATGACCGAGCTGGACTACGGCACTCTCCTTTGCTGGGGCAGCAATGACCAGGGCACTCAGCTCGAGCCGTGCGTCTACCATATCGTGCCAGCTGGTAAGTGCCTCGACCTTACCGGGCTTCTGAAAAATTGCTTCAGATCTAGCCCACATACGTCTCCCGATGTCTTCGCGACGCGCGTATTCCTCCTCGCCATGATCGATTCGCGAGGAAATATTTACGCGGCGACTTCTTGGATTCATTTGCGCGCGCGCGCTCTTTCTCTCTCTCTTTCTCGCACGTTTTGTTCGATACTCGAAAAAATGGAAATTATTAAAACGCAGACGCACGTTTTTCATGCTCGGATATACCGTAATGAAATGTGTCGCCGCATTTTACAGCATAATTGCTGCGTAATATATTTTGAAGCCAATTACGAGGCAATTAATAATTCGGTAAAAATTTATTATATGCAAATATCTAAAGTGGCATAATTAAATAATGCAATAAACGGAATGTATTATCTGAGTTGAATCGTAATCGCGCGCTGCATTTGAATTTTTTGAAGCGCGATCGAATTTGTCGCGCAAACATGTAAATTACACGAATGACATGTATTATACATAAATGATGCGTGGCGTTTGATATTTTTGTATGGCTCTGCGATCGCTGATATTAACATTGTCGTCGCCAGGTGAATAAATCAAATGGAACGAAGACAGATAAATCGTTCGATGACGTCGCAGCTGCGACACACAACTTTTTCGAGCGGAGCAATCGATTTTAGGAGACGAATGTTGCGCCGTTCCGAAACTCTTGAAAAGCGCATTCGATAGATTCGATGCATTTACTCTTCTTGTCGTCGAAACACTGCCATCCGACATCCGGTGAATTATAAATGCAACGCGTTCTGCAATTCACTGCGTCTTCATCGAATTATCGGCATCTCGATAAACCGAAAAGGCAACTCAATGTAGCTTCAACTCGACGCGCTCTTTGCCGATTTTTTGCTTGTAATACGTTCTCTCGCGTCTTGAAAATGTTCAGGCGCGAATCAGAAACTGTTAATACGAAGATGCAGGCTCAATGGTACTTGAAATAATAAAGAAAGTTGGAGTCAATTCAGAGCCGTGAACCAGCCGGGTAGAAGCAGCGCGTATTTACATTCGCCACATTATTATTTTACATTTACATCTAGTATTGTGACGACGAGAGAATTGCGAATTGAGAATCGTTTTGTAAGCGCCGTGTGCATATGCATTTCTATTATTCTTTTATTAATATTGTCAGTTCTCTGTTTCAACTAACTGTTTGCAACCGCAGTTCATATTACGCATTATTGAATCTTTGCTAATATTTGCATTTAACAGAACTACTTCCAGATTTACGCTCGTGAAATATTATAACGAATTCGGCAGCTTGCACTGACAAGTAAATCTACCCAAGGGGACACACCGATTTTAATGAGTGTTGAATATGTTGTTTTTCCAGCTCAAAATAAGGGACACGTATTTTTTTTATACGTGCCCATACGCACTTTTACATGTCCGAGAACTGTTTAACAAAAAAAAAATATGCGAATACTATACAGATCATTTTACTGGCTAAGAGGTATTTGCGAGTTGCCAAATTCGCTATTGGAAAAGCAGCGAGCTATTGCAACATTTGTATTACAAAGAAACTTTTATATCCCCATGTTCCATAGATGTTCGATTTAAAATGTGCATCTGCAATTGTCGGCACGTATGTTAATGTACGGTGTCACATTTTCCCCGAAGGCCAATTTGACGCGGTGTAATACAGTCCATTTAATCGAACGTAACACCAAGAAAATTACACTCGAAAAATATATTCGCGCGAGATATTGGAAAGAGATATCGCCATATTTTTATCGCCGCGGTAAGCACAAAGATTCGCGTGCAAACGGGTTAAGGGAGGCGAGCATTTTTACCCGTTCTTCGCCGCGGGGCAGATCGTTCATAAAGGTCCGGGGGGGCAGGCCGTAGACGGACGGCGTCAATACGTGACAAACGCATTTTAGTACTGCGCCTGGTACTAAACTACCGGAACATGCAATAAAAACCGTCATTAAAGTGAACGTTGCGTAAAAGGGACATGTCAATTTGAGTGCCGTAGTCGAACAAAAACGAAAATTCAAACTAAACTCGCATCGGCCGATGAGAGGCCGATCAAATCTAGAAGCGCGCACGAGACAGTTGCACCGTCAGCAGCTTTGTTGAAAGCTTCATTCTCGTCTAAAATAGGCGATTGTTTTATTTTGCGAAAAGCTTTTACGGTCCTTAAACGTACGCAAACTGCGCGCGTAGATAAAAAGCTGGGCGGTAAGTAGATGTGTCGCGTCATTCTTTCGGGCGCGTTCGAGATCAGGTTTTTTTGTTATATCCAAATTTTCCTATGACAAATACACAAAAGTATAGAGAAAAGTCCCCTATTATGAGATCGGCGTCATCTGTTGGTTCCACCATAAATTTCTTGTCCTTGGAGTGAGGTAATCCATTCGATAGAAAATTGACTGCTAGATCGTGTAATCGTTGCGAAAAAAGATTTGTGCATTGAATTTGGTTGTTGAAAACCTACTGTCTCATATTAGACTCATATCTGATAGTAGAGGACTTTCCAATATACCAACATAATTTAAAAATAGATAGAAATTGTCTCTCGCGCGCACAATTCCGATTGAAACAAATTACGTCCTTAAATATCGAGCGACATTACGTAATTAATTTAATTAACGGTTCCCACGATAAACGATACCCACTACAAACGATTTCCACCATTTCACGCTCGTTTGCGGGATCAATTCCATCTCGGATCGGGATATTCTCTATGGTTTCATAGGATACCTTCCAAATTTGCTAATTAAGCATTCATTCACGTTTGCTAATTACGTCGCTAATCGACACGCAGAATCGTGTCCGCTACTGATCGCTGATCGCGCGCGAATTCAACAGGCCGCCCGGACACCCCGCACAACTGCTCCTTGTTAAATCAAACCACCGACTCGATCTACGTGGAATGCATAGAGGGCTTTGATGGCGGCCTGCCGCAAAAGTTCACCATGCAGGTGGACCGCGAGGCCGGGTCCGGCAAGAGCGGCGGCCCCACGACCATCTACAACCAGACGAGCAAGGTGCCCGTCTTCTCCGTCAGCAACCTCGACCCCGGCAGCAACTACGAGGTTTCCATTTACGCCACTAACGCCAAAGGTCGCAGCGAGACCGTGCACTTTCGCGCCACCACCCTGAATCTCCCTGAGAGGCGAACAGGTGAGTCGTCCGGCCGCGAACAACCGTACTCGGAGAGAATGATCGATCGCGAGTCGATCCGCGATTAAGTCGTCCACCATGTACTTACCAGACGATTCATAAGTAAGCCTCGAACGACGCGAAACATTCCGAAGTGGTGCGGCATTGTTAGGTAGAGATCGGATGGATGTTCCGCGGACTTCTAAGCAGCTTTGTGTTCCGAGTGGAATCTTTATTATGGTAGAGCTGCAAGAATAATAACGCTAACAATAGTGACAACAACGTTAATGAAAATCGTAAAAATTAGTGACAATAATAGCAATAATTTATTTAAAGACCCAGATACACCATGCATCGCGTTTAATAATTTCTCTATTTATTAAGAAATTCCACGCTAGTCGAGTGAAAGTGAGCCGAGGAAATTTTCTTCCGGAGACTCTTGGCTTTGTTTCGAAAAAAAGTCGCCACCAGCGTCGAAGCATTTGTCTCGCTGAGTAACGAGCCTGGTGATTCCACGCTTCGTGCAAGTCCCTTGGTTTTTGCGTCAGAATATGTGTAACTGCCTCTTGCACCCCATCGTCCGACGCAAACCCGCGATCCTTCGCCCCTCAACTGCTTCGGAAGTTTTAAGTGGGGAATTGTCGAGCACCCTCCGCACAGCCCGGCTCTTCCCCCTTGTGACTTTCTGCACATTTTCGGTGCGTTGAAGAAGCAGCTGAGGGGTCGCAGGTTTGCGTCGGACGACGAGGTGCGGGAGGCAGTTACACGCATTTCAACGCAAAAACCAAGGGTCTTCCACGAGCGTGGAATCACCAGGCTCGTTACTCAGTGAGACAAATGCCTCAATGCCGATGGAGACATTTTTCTCGAAGGTGAGATTTTCTGGGATTACTCTCCTTGGCTCATTCGACTGGCTCCTTGTCCATGCACGTGGTTCTGTAGATATTTAAAATATTTAAGGGGTCATTCAACTTTAACGGCCCAAAAACGATGCTTATCTTTAACAATTTTTTTCACAGTAAATACATCATACAAGAAATAAATCTTTTTGGGATTTATTAGGGCACTCTTAAATAACACACAAAAATTGTTGTCATAACTTAAACAATTTTTTTAATTAAGCGTTTTCTAAGCCGTTCGAATGGCGTGTCAAAAAAGATGCGAGTCCGCTGCGTTGATGATTTTTATCATTCAGGCTTACCTGAAACAAAAAATCAAAAAGATTCTTAATGAGTGTCGCTATGTCCCGAACCTCAATGAAGAATTTTTATTTAAAAATAACCAAATGGTGCCAGTTTGAAAAAAAATTTAGAAAAGTACTTTTTAAAACTTTTTTCAAACTGGCACCATTTTGTTATTTTTAAATAAATTCTTAATTGAGGTTCGAGACATAGCGACACTCATATAGATTAAGTATCTTTTTGATTTTCTGTTTCAGGTAAGCCTGAATGACAAAAGTCATCAACGCAGCGGACTCGCGTCCTTTCTGACACGCCATTCGAACGGCGTAGAAAACGCCTAAGTAAAAAATAGTTTAAATTATGACAAAAATTTTATTGTGTTGTTTAAGAGCGCCCTAATAAATCCCATAAAGATTTATTTCATTGTATGGTGTATTTACTGAGAAAAAAATTGTTAAAGATAAGCATAGTTTTTGGGCCATTAAAGTTGAATCACCCCTTGATCTCTGAGCGTAGATTTTATTTAAACGTTTATACTACACCTAATTTTGTACATCGTCCAAGTAATTTGGTGTCATAAGTTCAGAATCACCTTCCTCGGTGAAGAGGTCTCCTCAATCTCGACGTAATAGACTCGATAGTATATCGAATAACCGCACGCGCCAATGCCGTAACAATACCGCCCGTATACTTTGCCACCGCGGCGTAAAACGACGAATGCGTCGTAAATGCATACGGGAATATATGAACGGAAAGTGCAATATAAAGGGAGCATCGTAGACGGATATTGCTTATGAATCGATCTAATATTTTGAGCACTGTTCGCTACGCTGCACGGCCTTGCATCGTAGAGCTCGTGTGAACATGTTGATCCTCTCTCGTGCAATAACATCGTAACTCGATTTCAGCGGCTTTTTGAGTGGCCGCATGAAAGTTCACGAGTATATTACGCGCACACGGCCCATAATATCGTGCATTTGTGTTGATTCGCGCGAGATCATCCAGACAGTTTGCACTGGATATTCCTCATTACCACCCGGAGTTGGACAAACAACTACAGAATATATGCGGAAAAGTTCGAATCAGTAATAAGTTTATAATGGAGCACGATTTCCTCCTCCCCGCGACGGAAATGTAGCTCGTAATTTTATTAGAGAACAATTAAGCGAGGCTGCTTGATAAAAGGGACATCAAATATTCGCGCCGATGACGAATGCATGTTTGACGGTAAATTACAAACGATTATTCATTGGACGCCGACGTGTACCTTACTGCTTTCTCGTAGAGGATTACATTCGAGTCTGCTTGAAGACGGGTATATGTAAAAATTAATTTCACATACTGTAATAGACACATGCGTAGATTCTAAAGAAAACGTGACACTAAGGCTGCTTTCCTTTCAGAAAACACAGTCGGACATTTTTGACACAAATCGACACGCGTCGCTTTCCATTTAGAATTTCATTCAAACTCAGCCGACACTTTTCGACTCTGCTCGGGAGGACAGTCGGAGTGTGTTTTTGACCGAAGAACGCATCCGCTCCGAGTATTTCGATAGAATCTTTTCTTAAGGCCTGTGTCCACGATGCCAGAACTTGGTCCAAGTTTTAGTTCCGAGAAATGTGTAGCCAATCAACCCGCAGCTTTTATGGAATAGCTGCAAGTTGATTGGCTACACATTTCACGAAGCTAGAACTTGGACCAAGTTCTGGCGTCGCGGACACAGGCCTTTAAAATCTCGTTCTTTAAATCCTAGCCATTTCACAGTGGCAAACTGCGCTGGAGTGTGTTAACTCGTGTCTCCTAAAAGGAAAGCAGCCTTAATCTGCTTTGACGTGATTCCATTCTTTCCCCTCGAACGAAAGAAAATTTAATTAATCCTGCTTACCCTCGTTTAGAATACGACAGTCGCGTATAAGCCGCGGTTAAATTATAAAGTTGGGCTTACAATAAAAAGATTATATCAGACTTAATAATGTCGTAAGTTTTAACGAAAGCTGCCGGAGGAAAACATTCTCTGTAAATCATGTAACGGTCCGTCATTTTGCGCACTTCAGTTTATACTCTATTCTAGTCTGTATATAGTGACGGGCAGAATGGTCGCTTTTTCTTATGAGTTTAGGAACGTGCATTTAGATTCGGGATTACGTTCCAAAATCTTCTTCTCCGAGGAATATTTTACTCGATGATCATTCCGAAACCACTTCGAGCGTTTCCGATCTATTTCTCGAGTCAAATTTTCTGCCGCATTCTTCTAACTAATTGCTCACGATTAACCTGTGGGTGGCACGTAGACAGACGTTAAGCGGTGTTACGCGCGTTAATAATGCGCGGCTAATAGGCGGCTGCGGAACCCGTCGGCTTCGTCGTTTATCCGCTCTACTGCGGCCTGGACCGCAGCGGATCCGAGATAGGAGTAAACCAGACTATAGAAGGCTTTCGTATTTCGCATCAGCTGGCCCTCCTTCGTTACAAATCGCCGTTCCTTACGCTACTCTCGTCCAATTTATATCCGACCCCGCCGCCGCCTGAACTAACAAGACTCGGCGATACGTGCTGCTCTTGCGAAAGAACAAAAAAAAAATCCGAGCTCGCGAAATTTGGTCCCGTTTTTTCGATCCCAATAGGTGTATGTGTGTGTGCGTGCGTGTTCTTAAAACGTTTCGTTGAACTCCAATCCGCGAATCGTACACGGAAAAAAAATGCCGTTGAATTAAAAAAACAATGAAGTTGCTGGAGTTAAACGTTAACGTCACTGGCTGCCACAAACATAAATAATTCGCTCGATCGTATTATTTGCTGTGGATTTTAATTTTATGCTTCAACTATTGCTATTGAACTAAATATCCAGATTATTAAGACGACTATCTGATGTTTTTTTTGTTCATTAATGGCGAGGTCGTTTCAACGATTTTATTTCAATTAATTGCGCTTTTCCTCCTTCCTTACAAGTATTAAACTCTCTCTTTCTTTTGTGCATGCGTGTGTGCGTGTGCGCGCGCGCGTGTGGGTTATGAAATAGGGATTAGAATTAATTGTAAGTTTAGTTTGTGTATTTCAGCGATTTAGCAACGCCAAGTTTTTTAATAAATAATAATGTCGTGAATTAGGACCGATATGTATCAAACAATTTAATTAGAAAAGGCCGTCCTTTAAGAAGATATTTATTTGTATTAAAGTTGTTTGCATTATATTTTTATTGAATAAGTAATTAAAAATTTGTCTCGTTAATATTATTGTCTCCTTTACTTCTTTCGGTAAAATCTTATGCTCGCTTGTTTGGATATAACATTTTAATATCAAAAATAATTAAGTATCTAGCTTGTATAAATATTCATTTTAGTTGGCGCAATTTGATGATGTCATTACTTTTGTAGAGACAATAAAATGAATTTTTTTCTAACCAAATATATATCCAAATAATTAAATTATATACTTCTTGATTGGATGGCGCTTATACTTGACGTATCTTTTTTACCTTTTTTTAAAAGGGTTGTTTTTTTAGGGTGATTTCAATTACACTGATCTTGTTGATGCATCATTTTTTTCCCGTGTACGAAGGAAGAGATGTCGCGCGAATTTCTTTCGAGGACTCGAAAATTGTACAGGTTTTACGAAAAGCGAACGCGCGTTTCCTTGTATCGTTGAAATCTAAATTCGGTCTGGACACTCAGAATAGATACACTTTGCTCGCGCAATGTGAAAGCTATGGACTGCGTTAAACGACTGCGCGCCGCTCGAATGGCAGCTTTCCAGGCGATAAAAATGACAAAAATACGCGCGCGGATCGGCTCGTCTCGCTCGATGACTGGCAGGTATCGATTGCATTTTGACGTTTTGCATTAAAATACGTCCGTGCGCAGCGTGACGAACGATTGGCACATTTCATGGAAATCCATCGGCGTGATCGAGCTCTCTCGAAGAGATCGCGCGCCATCAAGCTCGCGGAAACGCGGGGACGCATTATGGCGAGCAATATTACGACTGATTAAGCTCCGTTCGTTCGGGTATACATGTCTTGACGATTCCTCGATGGATTGCCGTAAATTACGAGTGAAAAATGCCGATTATTTTCGCGGTCAATCAATCTTCTCGAAAATAAATCCAATTTAGGAGCCGTCTGGAAAATATGAAAGAGATTAATACGTTATACGGACACATCTTTGAATAAATGTCTTCATGCGCTCCGAACGTCTAGAGAAATTAACAAACACGTGGTATATTTTCGAACGCGAGCCCTTCCGTTCAACTGTCGTGTCGATTACTCGTAGACGATTTTGCATACTTCAGCAAAGCTGCGTCCATCTTCGAACCATTTCATTTATTACTTTGGCGAAGAAAGTGCGATTATTTTCATGAAAATATATTCGCAAATTACGATCGTGCAAAATGTAGTAGACCAAATTAACAATATTAATTGTTTATAACAACGTTTGAAAGAAGGGATTGTTTACGTTGCAAGAGAAACTCTATTTCTTGTGATTTTATATAGAAGCGTCACGCTCTTCAACTTCAAGCTCCTTGAATATCGATAATCTTGATGCGTATCCTTTATCACAAAATTCGTGAAATTTGTGAAGAACAAATCAGACACATCGCCTGCGATTGAATACTTTCTTTACAACAAAATCTCCCCGAGACGAAACTTTGGCCCTATGTTGAGCCTTTAATTCTATTATATAGTAGGACCTAAGGCAGTAAAAGAAGTCGAACTGCAGGTACAAAATTTATTCCTACTTTAAAACTGATAGTGTCGAAAATTTCTATAGCTTTTGCCAATTTAGCATTAAAGTAGGTCCTTTTAAGTAGGAGCTAAAGTAAATTTTTAGAGTTAAAGATTCAAGGGAGGAGTAAACAAATATAATGTCATCAAAGTAGGTTATTGCTGGTCTATGTAGGCGTATAGATCAGCTCAGTAGGTGTAAATTATCCTTAAAAGTGTCAAAATAGTACCAAAATTTCGACTCGGGCCAAGTTCCAATTTCCAACCCTCCGAGTTGTCAGTCCCACCGAGGAGAAGACTTCTAATTACTTGTTCGTCAGTCTCTCTTTAATTGCAACATGACACGAGCTCGTCGATTACCCCAAAGTTCATTGCCTGAAACGAGCCTACCGGACGTCGCGATTGTGTGTCGGGTCGTAATTAATTCAAGCGTACGCCATTTTCCCTACGCGCGAAACGACTCTCGGCCTCGCGTTACCTTCGACTACCCTGCCGCACCCCCGAAACTCATCTCCGCGCGCTCTCGAGTGAGTTAGGCTGAGGCTGGTGTGTTGTGCCACTTCCGGTAGCAGGTGAGAGGCTGGCGCAACCACCCTCGCCGGAGAATTGCACGATCCGCGAGGAGAGCCGGACGACCGTGCGGGTGAGCTGCGCCGAGAGCGAGTACTTCGACGCGAACACGGCCACCTACGTACTGCAGGTCTTCGACGCCGACACCAGACGGCTGCTGGCGTCCGCAACGAGCCTGACGCCGAGCATGCTCGAGGTGACGAATCTGCCGGCCGAGAGGAGCCAGTCCGGCCTCGTGCTGTCCCTCAGGATCATGACGGCGCACGCCATGAGCGACGCCACGGTCCTCCACAGTCCGCACTTTGTTCAGGAGGGTAATACCAATAAGGAGCACCACCGTTACCCAGGTAGGGCCCAGATACACAATGGATCGTCCTACCAACCCGCCCGCACCCCCGCCGCCCCGCCCCCGTTATTGTCCCCATGACGGTGCTTTCGCGCGAGACCTCGTAGCCCTCGAAGCGGCGATGAGCGACATCGTCGTTGCGATCGAGCTACACTCTTAAGCATGTATTGCCAAACACATCGCAGGTACACGTTGAAATCAAAACCGTACGTAATTATAAGAGACGTAAAAATCCACCAAATAGCTGGTACCTCGAGATTGGGAGTTTCATTTTGAGGAGGTACATTAGCTACGCGATCACGGGTGCGGCTCACGCAACACAGGAAGAGTATAACAAATGCCTGTCCGGCATGGAAACGAGACATTTAGAGGTACATTTCTACCTCGTGCTACTTCAGGAGATACGTACGGAGAATTTTGTTTCTCTTAAAAAGAGGTGCCGTGGCTTCATAGAGCGGGACCTCCAATTGATCGTTATACGTTCGTTATCACCTCGTATATTACATATTTATGCCTCGTACTAATATGCTGCACTGAAAAAAATTTCTGGTTGAATATGGACGAATCAGATAATTCCTTTAGGATTTACCAGAATTTCTGTAGGATTACAGGAATTCTGGTAAATCCTAAAGGAATTCTGGTGAATCCTAAAGGAATTATCTGATTCGTCCATATTCAACCAGAAATTTTTTTCAGTGTGGGAAAAATATCCCCCATCAGCGCGTACCTCGAATCTCTCAATTCCACGTAGAAGTTTGTACCCCGAGTTTGGCGGTGCTACGCGGTGCGAGCTCAAGAGTGTACAAACAATCGATCGCGTCGGCTCATTGCCGCTTGTACAATTGATATTGTTCGTCTCTCGGCCGGTGACGTACTGGAGAAGAGTACCGTCGCATCGCGATCGCGAGATTCTGAAGCCAATGACCCGTACCTCGCGAGCGGGTACGGTCATCCTATCGGGTACACTCGGTCTACGGTCCGTTTCAAATTTTCCGCTCCGATACTGCCGTTCCCGAATTCTTACGCCGTACGAATTGCGCCTGAGGCTATCAGCAATAGACAGAAAGCCGTGATGCAGATAGAATAGGAACTGTGTACATAACGAAGGAGAAATAAGCGGACATCAGGTCGTCTGCGATTTTTGTAATTCACTTCTAGCCACTTGAAAGCCCAAGTAGTACACTCAGCTGTTCTATCTTTCGATCACACCCGCTTGCGCGTATAATTGCTCCCCGTGATTTCATACGTCGTGCAGTAGTAGAGGAAAGTCCTCCATTTTGACACAGGCTTCTGATATGAGGTAGCAGGTTTTTGACACCCAAATTCAATCGCAAATCTTTCCTCGCGACGATTACACGAGTTAACAATGAATTTTCCACCAAAACAGGTCTCGCTCCAAGAGCAATAAATTCATGGTGGAATGAACAGACGACGCCTATTAACTTAACAGAAATCCCGCTATCTCGTATTAGGAGTCTATCTCATAATAGGGGACTTTCCTCTAATGATCCCTTACGTAGTTTATCATGTCTCCATTTCCCTCAGCGAACGGGAATGGCATTGTTTTAGAGAAAGTCAGAGGATAATCATCGCGAAATTTATCCTGCGGTTCTTATTTCGAGCAGGAAATTCGAAATCGTTTTTAAACCGGCGGTATCTTTCCACGTCGTTACTTTCTTGCGGAGGGATTATAAATTTTCTTTCTATCAGTCAATATCAGTATCCCATACGTCTGCACGGTCTGCTGCGACCGTAGAGAAACGTCCCGTCCGAGTCGTGCAGCGCGCGCTGAAACAGACTAATATTCTACACACGCGGCGATATTCGCCCGCGATAAAAATGCTCAGCCGGTGGAAAGCCCGCCGACAGGTCAACACTTGGGCGAATTCATCACGAAGTATCTCGAAATTTGCATATTTGTTTTGCGCACGTACCGCGCGAGTCCATTTTTTTTTCCACCGTCCATCGAGGAGCCGGTACCATCGAATTGAAGGCAATCGCCAAGGGAATACCGCGGATTGACTTGCAAAATATTGTTACGCTGTTTTCGTACGACACGGTCAGATCTTGCATGCGCCCAGGGCCGCGTAAAGCGCGCCGCGCCACGTGGCCATCTTTGCGCGGAAAAATGTTGCTTATCTCCTTGATTAAGCTAATAGATGTGCCTTGTCACCGCCTATATTAGTTGTGATTACATTTCCGGAGTTTCCGCAAACTCCCGCTTGCAAATTTTTCTCGCATGTATCCGTGAATGTGTGCCTCCTTAATTTTTCCGCACTGTACGTGTACCAACTTAAGGTGCAAGAAGAAAGCGTACATCCGTTTGAATTAAAGAGCACCGCTGATGCTTGTGCATGTTAATTAATTGAATATGAACTTTTCTCTTTGTGTTTCTGTGTAACGTAAAGTTTAGCGAGCGGAGAGAAAAAAAGTCTGTTGGTGCGATGTCACCGTCGCACGTTTAATTAAAAATGTTTAAAGGGGGCGGGTCTTCATTCATATTTAAATGCGACAAATCCTTATGCTCCGCAATATTTGCAGAACGTCAAAGAAGTAATTTATATATCGAATTCAATTTTATTTAATAAAGCGTGCCAATGTGTTCGTGTTTAACGTCTGCCGCGTTGCGACAGACATACCATCATTTTCTCTTCATTTTCCCGCTGCATATTAATCATATTTAATGTGTGGCATAATGAGAGATGAAAAAATCTAATTTCGCCAGACGTCCCCGTAATGCGAGCGCACCACAAAAATATGTGATACTAATTAGTTATTCCAAAGTAATTACAATTTATAATCGGCTGTGTATTGTGTAAATACTTTCCTTCTCATTAAAAAAATGTTTTATCAGTCGCCACATCTATTTCGTATCTGTGCGTAAATTGGAGTTAATATTCATTAACTTTACGAAATCCGCGCAAGTGTAACATTCATATGCCGGTAAATCAACACCGCGCGGCCACCGTAAATTCATTTTGAAAGGCGCGGGCAGCTATAATAGATTTCAAATGATTTATTAGGCGGCGTATCTCCGCGACTTATTCCGCGAAACGTTCCTGCAAGTTGAAGGCGGTGCCGCCGCGCGACAAGGCATTATCATAAATGAATGTAATAATCCATTATCTTCCGCCCGCGTTTGTTAGTTTTCGCGATGACACACCCGCGGGAAATCGTTTGCGTAAACAGTCTGTCCCGAGACTACGCTAACACACGGGCGTATCTCGCGCCCGGTAACGTGACGCATGTACTTGATCTTAAATGCGATTATGCGATTATTGCATTACACTTTTGTCGCCGGTCGTGGATATGTGCGGCGGTATCACGAACGACACTCTGTAAAGATAACCGGCGCAGATATGCTAATCGAAGGTTTCGCCGCTTTCTTGGCGGAAGTCGGTTTACCCCGGCATATCCCGCGAACAGTTAGCACGCGCGCGAAAGGGAGGCAAAGTCGGAAGAACTTGTTTCCAAGGGATACCGCTAAGGCGACCGCCTGTACGTGTAAATCCTGTCGAGAAGCATTCATCCAAAATTGCTCTGTGGCCAAGTCTAATCTTCCAGCTTGATCTCCTGGTGCGACGGTGCGACGTACGTGAATATCCCTCAAGTGTCGCGGGAAACGTTATCACGATCCTCGAACGGAAGTGTAATATCAAAATGTCAAATACTAAAATGTGATTGCGCAGTCAGGCGCTCGCCCAGCGCATTGACATGCTTGATTTAATGAAAATTTCGACTCGCTAACGTACCATATATTCTAGGGTAAGGTGACCAAGTTCGTGTCGGATACCAAATGCGGATCAACAATTTGAGGAGTCGCTAATGAGCGACATAAAAACGTATCTTTTACGATATCGACAATAAAGTTGTGAATATATAATACAAAAGAGCGAACTTGCAATTATGTAATAACACAACGCGGGGAGAATTTCCTCCTAAATTTTACCTTGAAAATCATGTAATCGTGGGACAACGTGGGCACTTTGTAGAACTTTATAAGAGTTTTTTGACATCGCACCTTACATTTTACTAATAAAATCTATGCTACGTATAATTACTAGCAAAATGTGTGGTAAAATTTATAAAAAGCCTCATAAGATTCTTCGAAATGCCGTGCCGTGCCACTCTCTAAAAGTCAATCAGTGGATTATCACTGAAAACAGTGAATAGTCACCGATTTACAGTTATATAATAAATATACCACTGCGATTTTCAGTGGTGCACTTATAACTGCAAATCAGTGACTACCCAGAGAACATGCACATCTAAAAGTCTTTTAGACATAAGAGGTCTAATAGACACACACACAGAACAAATTTCCGGATCCAATGCTATTACAGTTGAATGTATCATAAAATCATATTTATTATAGAGAAAGGAATATTTTAATCTTAAATGAAAAATTCTAAAATCTAGAATAAAATGACAGTATGTATCGTCTTTTGTCGAATATCGCGGTGCCAACTTCGTGCGTTGTAAGTTGAAGGGAAAATTTATTCTAAACGCAAGAATATATAAACTTACATTAGAAGTTACTCTTGTCTCAATATAGTAAGTCAATCTTTTTTAATTCGATAGAGGAGAATAAGAATTATTGATTTTATTTTGATACTGTCTTATTTTTATACTAAATGAGGTTGTGAGAAATATAAATGCGTCAAGAATACTTTTTGTCTCGGTAACAGAAATCCTTTCAGAGGGTGTAGAGGACGGGCAAGTTTTCTCATAAATTTGACTTGTAACTTTCATATGTTAAGGCGTTATACAGCGAAAAGTAAGCTTCCCTTCTCTTAAAAGTTAATTGAGCGTGATGAGCACCTTTCGTAATAGCGGATGCAATAAAAGATAACGAAAATAATCCAAAAATTAACTGTTACATTTTGATTATACAGAAAATCAAGTATATACCTCTTGACCTTTCGATTAATTCGCGTTTTCGTAATTGTCATTTTGCACCAAGTTTCGTTTTGTACGACCTTTTGACTAACAGCGAATTCA